TCTCCTTCCACCACCACTTATCCCCCCCATACCCTCTTCTACCTCCCCCACCCCCTTGTCCTCTGGTAATCACTATGCTGTTTTAAAAGACCGAAATCATACCAAGTATCTTTTGCGACCACAGTGAATGAAACTAGGTATCAAAGTGAGGAAAGCTGAAAATAGTGCAAATATGTGGAAACTAAACCACACACATCTAAATAACCAGTTGATCAGAGCAGAAACAGAAAGGGAAATCAAAGATAATCTCAAACAACTTAAAATAGAAATGTTACAGGCACCTCTCACAGACACCAGAGAGGCGTTATCAGACATCCCCCTGATTCAGAGGCCGAGGGCTGTCCCCACCTTGATTCATGTCATGCTCATATGAATGAATTCATAGGTATGACTCCAGATGACTGTATTATGATAAAGCCAATTTATTAAGAAAGTAATTTACTAAGAAAGTAAAACACAAATTTATTAAAGGAGCAAGACAAGCAAATATATCATCTGGCATAATGTGTGCAGATGGGCTCTCAGCTAATCTGGAGAGCGAGGTGGGGGTTTCTGCTTCATACTCCTTTCTGTCTATAGCGTTTAAAATTCGGATATCAAATATCTAGGTTCAGATTAATTTTCAGGGTCCTCCTTTTACTTTGTTGTGCATTTCCCAGAATTTGTGAGAAGCACTGGGCAATTTTATCTTGCCAAGCCCTGAGACTGCTGGCTTTTCTGTTTAGGGAGCGGGATGAGATAAGACTGCACTTGTTTCCTTTCCTCTTCACACCTTCTCTCTGCTGTCTCTGGAGAGACATTAACCATTTGCTCTCAAATGTCCTTGGCTGGGGGAAGATGCAGGCTGCCAAACTGTTTGGCCTTGTTTAATTTTCTTGTCTCAGTTTCCCTATTCCTCCTGCCTTGGAATTTTTCTAGCTTCTTGCTATCTTGTAACAGAAACACAATATATAAAAACCAATAGGATGCTGTGAAAGCAGTTCTGAGAGGAAGCTTTATAATCATAAATACACATATTAAGAAATGATAAAGCTCACAATTAACCTAACTTTACACATTAAGGAACTAGAAAATTGAGAACATATTAAAGCCAAAGTTAGCAGAAGAAGCAAATAATAAAGATAAGAGTAGATGTTGATGAAATAGAGACCAGACAAACAACAGAAAGTATCAATGAAACTAAGAGCTGGGTTGTCATAAAGATAAACAAAAGTGACAGACTTTTAGTAAGACAAAAGAAAAAAGAGAAAGACAAAATCAAAAATGAAAGAGAAGAAATTACAACAGACACTACAGAAATACACAGTATGAACAATTATACAGCAACAATTTAAATAACATGGAAGAAATAGTAAGTTCCTAGAGTCATACAACCTACTGAGACTGATCCAGGAAGAAACAGAAAGTCTAAACAGACCAGTAATGAATAAGGAGATTTGAAACACTCATCAAAACTACCCACCAGAGAAAACTCCAGGAATAGATGATTTCACTGGTGAATTTTACCAAATATTTACAGAAAAATTAATGCCAAACTTTCTCAACTCTTCCAAAAGTTGAAGACAAGGAAACACTTTCAAACTCTTTTTACAAGGGAGCATTACCCTGATACTAAAACCAGATAAAGACACTACAAGGAAAGAAAATTATAGACCAATATCCCTGATAATCATAGATGCAAAGATTCTGAACAAAATATTAGAAAACCAAATTAATGAACTCATTAAAAAGTTTATACATCATGATTATGTGGGATTTATCCCTGGGGTGCAAGAATAAATATAAAAAAATAAATATCAACAAATTTACACCTCATTATCAATACATACACACCCACATTAATATAACAAATGACAAAAATCATTTAATAACCTTGACAGATTCAGGATAAGCTTTTGAAAAAAACAACACCCTTTATTGATGGGAAAAAAAGCCCTCAACTGGTTGGGTATAGAAGGAATATACCTCAGTATGATAAAGGTCATATGTCACAAACCCACAGCTAACATTTTACTCAATGGCAATAAATAGAAAGCTTTTTCTCTAAGATCAGGAACAAGATTAGAGTGCCCACTCACATCACTCTTATTCAACATAGTACTTCAAGTTCTGTCAGAGCAATCAGGCTAAGACAAAGAAATAAAGGCATCCAAATTAGAAACAAAGAAGTAAAATTGTCATTATTGTCAAATGATATGATCTTACATAAGGAAATGATCCAAAGACTCAACTAAAAGCTGTTGGATCTAATAAATGAATTCAGTAAATTTTCACTATGTAAAATCAATATGTAGAAAGCAGTTGCTTCCTTATCCATTAAATATGAAAGAGCTGAAAAGCAAATAAAAAACCCATTCATCAATAACAGTAAAATATCTAGGAATAAAGTAACCAAGTAAATAATTTGTACAATGAAACTTAAAATTCTCTGATGAAAGGAATCTAAGAGAACACCAATAAAAAGACATTCTATTTTCATGCATTGACAGACATAATATTGTTATAATGTCCATGCTACTAAAAGGCATGTATAGATTTAACAAAATCCCTATCAAAATTCCAATGGAATTTTTCACAGAAAAAGAAAAATCCTAAAATTTGTATGAAACCACAAAATCCCTGAGTAGTCAAAGTAACTGTGAGAAAGAATAACAAAATCTGAGACCTTATACTGCCTAATTTCAAGCTATACTACAAAAGCTATAGTAATGAAAATAGTATGATATTGACATAAAACGTGGACAGAGACCAGTGGAACAGAATAGAGAGCCGAGAATAAAACCCCCACATATGCAATCAACTGATATTTGGTAAGGCAGCCAAGGATATCATAATAGGAAAGGATGGTCTCCTCAACAAATGGTATTGGGAATGTTGCACCAGTGTCTCACCACTCATAAAAATTAACTTGAGCCCAGCCGGTGTGGCTCAGTGGATTGAGCATCGTCCCATGGACTGGGTGGTCCCTTTGATTCCCAGTCAGGCACATGCATGCACAGGGCAACCAATCAATGTTTCTCTCTCCCATCAATGTTTCTATCTCTTTGTCCCTTCCTCTCTCTCTAAAAATCAATAAAAACATATTTTAAAAAATTAACTTGAAATAAATCAAAGACTAAAATGTAAGGCCTGATACTGTAAAACTCTTAGAAGAAACATATGGAAGAGATTCCTCAACATAGGTTCTGGCAATGATTTTTGGATATGACAACAAAAGCATAAACAACATAAAAAGGAAAAAAACAAAAACAAAAAACAACAACCAGTGATGTCTAGCCAGAGTGACTCCGTGGATTGAGTGTCATCCCATGGAAAGAAAGGTCCCAGTTCAATTCCTGGTCTGGGCACGTGACGGGTTATGGGCTCAATCTCCAGTGGGGACATGCAGGAGGCAGCCAATTGATGTATCTCTCTCACATTGGTGTTTCTGTATCTCCTTTCCTCTCTCTCTAAAAAAATGAATAAAAACATATTAAAAGAAAACAACAGTGCAACCACATCAGACTGGAAAGCTTCTGCACTGAAAATAAAACAATTAACCTATAAAATATTTGCAAACCATGTATAAAAATGATAAATATCTCAAGTTTATAAAGACCTCATACAAACCAATAACAACAACAATGAAAACAACAGTGGTCTGGTTTAAAAATAAGCCCAAATATCCATCAGTAGACAAATGGATAAAAAAGCTGTGGTACATATACACAATGGAGTACTAGGCAGCTGTAAGAAAGAAAGCTCTCTTACCCTTTGAGACGACATGGAGGGACCTGGAAGGTATTATCCTAAGTGAAACAAGCCAAGCAGAGAAAAACAAGTATCACATGATCTCACTCATTTGTGGAATATAATGAACATAACAGTCTGAGGAATGGGGTAGTCTCAGAGATGTGGAAGTAGGGTACAGACAGACAATCCCCAGAAGAGGGGTGGGAGGAGACATAAACCACAGAACTTATATGCATGTGTGGATGAACAATGGACATGGACAACAAAGCTGGGGACAGGGCGGGGAGGGAGGGGAAGGAGGTATCAGTGGGGCAAAAAGAAGAAACATCTGTAACAAAAATAAATTAATATAATAAAATAAATAAATAAAAATAAAAATAAGCAGAGAAATTAAATACACGTTTCCAAAAAAACATTCAAATGTTTAATAGGCACATGAAAACTTACTCAGCATGACTACCATCAGGGAAATGACAATCACAACTCAAAATGAGCTATCACCTTACACTTGTAAAAATGGCTATTATCAATAAAACAAGCGATAAGAAGTGTTGGTGAGGATGTGTGGAGAAAAGCAAACCCTTGCACACTGTTGGAGGGAGTGTAAACTGGCTCAGTCATTATGGTAAACAGTATGGAGGTTTCTCAAAAAATTAAAAAGACACTCTTAGTTGAACACGAGCAAAAAGATCATCGGAGTAGTCTGGGTGTATTCACTTAGTGAGAGACCATAGAAAGCAAGTAATACACTCAGTGGCAGGAAAGGGGGAAGAGGAGAAATTCAAATGGAACCAGTGCTGGTGATGCTAATGAGTGGGGCAGGGCAGCTCTAACCACACCAAGTCAAAGAGAAGTCCAAGTATTCTTTTAAAATTAATTTAATCAAACTAAAGAAAAAAAGAGCTAAAGTAAAAGTAGTAGAGTAGGTGGGCTCACAGTTTCTCTCTAAAGTCAATTGGTCTTTCTTTTGCAGCAAGGATGTATATGGGGGCCACGATGTAAATTAAATCAACAGGACAGGTTACCATATGAACAGCACAAATGAGTTATTGAGCTGATTGAAGGCTTCAAAATGTGTCCTCTTCATAGAGGTGCTGGGAAATAGTATCAAGTGTCACAAGCTACAATTCAAAAAAGCCTGTGACAGTTGGTCACCAGACATGGGCAAAGTCAGTTGATCCCACAAGGGGATCTGGCATCTTGTGCAAGGTGGCTGCCTGTGTGGCCAAGGAAGAGCTGCACAGTACTCTGTGCTTTTGCGCAAGTTCTTAGTCTGGACAGCGCCCCTCTCTGGGGAGGTACAGGAAGTTACAGGCCACATATATTGGGAAAACCACATCTTGGTTCTCCAGGTTCACTACCTCTAGCTCTTCATCTTTTCCCAGGGAGAGAATCTGGTATTCTGTGACCTTCCTAAACATGGCTCTTCCAGTCCTATCCAAGGAAACCAGGAACATGCGGAACGCAATCTTTCTCTGCCAGAGAAAGCTGACCCCTAGGCCTTGGGAATTGTTCATTGCACTGCGCCTGAAGATGATGCGCCTATTGGCGTAGCACACCACCAGGTCCCAGCCAAAGTTGAAGCCTGCCCACCGCCAGTTGCATGGCTCTTCCCTGTGGAGCTGGTGCCCGCACCGCATGCTGTTCCCCTGGAAGCTGGACACGTGGGCATCAGTGGGCCCGAGCTCCCTAGTTTGCTCAGCCCGGAGAAGGGCAAGCCATTGCTCTTTGTACACTGGAGTCAGCCATGTGGCAGGGATCAGCGCATCCTGGTCAAGGATGCGTGCTGATGGGAGGTCACAAACTATGTAGGCCAGCCGCAGATGCTGGAACACTGGCACGAAGGCTCTGCCCTGCTCAGTCTCCAGAAAAGGGGTGCCTTCTGACTCCATCTTGGCCCTAGCAAACCACAGGTTGGCATCGGACAATAAGGCTCTGCGGGGGCCCCTCCATTTCGGCTGCAGCTGCAAATACATCCACTTCTTCAGCATGGTGTACACATCCATCTCCACTTCCATCACGATGAGCTCTGAAGAGGCAATGAGCTCTTGCATGATATACAGGCTGACTTCTCGCACTAGTTCCTCGCTATGGTGAGTCATCAGGTTGTCCAGCAGCCACTGGAAGCACATGGCCCTGATGTTTGGGAGGCCGTAGCTCTCAGCAGAGTAGTAGTAGCTGCATGCGGTGTCGACACTGAGAGTCTCCTTCATGATCTCCCCACACTGCTGAATCAGCGCGTCCAGCTGCAGCATGCTGGCCGTGGCCAGGACAGGGATGACTCGACTGGGTGGAATGAACACGGAGTATTCGTACAGGGAGCCAAAAGCTTCGTGCAGTGCCTCAAGGTCAATGTTCTCGTCAGGCATGTGCAACTCGATAGTATTCATGGTTGCCTCCCTCCAAGCACCACTGAACATGCTAGCAAAGTAACCTGACCGGCGCAAGTAGACCCTGTGCAGGTTCCACACCTCCCCTAGTGCGCAGATCTGCACGTCGCTGCCTTCCCCCCGGAGGAAGAGGGCCTCGTAAACGGAATCTGAACAGGCTTTGCTGCGTTTCTGGTGGGGCTGTTTTTCAGGAGACCCCCCCGAGTCTGTCTTCCGCTTGACAGGGCCCGGACGGGGGGCTGGGCCGCCATCTTCTCTCTCCTCCTCCACGTCATCCGCCACAGCCATGGCCGCCTCCGCCGCCTCCAACTGCTCCCCACCCGCACCTGGCTGCTCTGGGGCACGTGCCCCCCTGCGCCACCACATCCGACTGCTTAGTGCTCCCATGGCCCGTGTGTACCTCAGAAGCGCGGAGGACGCACCCCTCTCAACGTGAGGCTTCCAGGGGCACGATCTCAGCCCAGAGTGCTTCTGGGTACAGTTGATGTCTGATCTCGCGACACCAGGAAACAACGCGAGAAAAGGGCAAGGCACTCCAGGAAGACCACTCTGGGCACCTTTGCCCACAGGAGTGATTGCTCCGGGGCTCCCTTCACAGACTGACGATTGATAGAGGCCTGCTGGCGTGAATTTTCCTTGTGCTTTCGAGAACACAGTTTGCATTTTCCGACCTGAAATGTTCAGTGATCGTTTTGGGGGTGGGGCGATTACATCTTGCGGCCATCTTTGTGCTCAAGGCACGTCAACTTATCTTTCTTTCTTAAGCTAAATCTGGGTTTTAATCACAATTTTGCCTTGATGACGCTTTTCTCTCTCTTAAAGTAGGAATAAACACAGAATCGCTCAGTTTTGCTGTGGAGAGTAGGGGTAATGTATACAAAAAGCAGGAAACACAATATATTTCTTTATATTAATGGAAAAATAAATGCGCAGTATTTAAAAATTGCATGAAACAGTTGATCGACTGTTATCATTGTTATATGATTCTGATATATACTATATAAGTTTGGGGCTAAAATTTTATCTTTGCTATTTTTCTTTGAAACTTGAATGGTCATCAGGGCATACTTACTCTCCCACATAGGTCATCCTTGTGGAACAATCACAAGTCCTGTCTCAGAATAGGAGCATAGTTTAGGCTGATCCCATCAAGCCCTCTGCTCATGGACAGTTTGCTGGATTCACCATGGAAATAGGAAACAAGCAAGCCATTAGTAGGAGAAAAAATATTTCTCTGCAGCGGGGTTGACACCGTGAGAAGGTTTGAGTCCAGCACTGCCGGGGCAATCTTTTCACCTGGAGGAGAGGGCCTATACATAATGAAAAACCAAGCGTGAGCTAGCACAGCACAGATGCAGACATCCCATGGGGTTAAGGATATGTAAGGCCCAGAATCAGATTTTCCAGTGACACCCAATGAAGGTGGACTGCTTAGGTTCATTTGAGTTGAATTTCTGTCACTCACAATAGGACACACTTTTTCTATTGTTTACGCCATTACAGCTGTCCCCAATTCCCCAGCCTCCCCACTTAGCCCACCTCCACCCAGCCCTCACCCTCCCTTCCCCCGTCTGTGTCTATGGGTTATGCATATATGTTCTTTGGCTAATCCCCTCAACTTCTTTCACCCAGTTCCCCCTCTGCTCTCCCCTGTGATAGCTGGCAGTCTGTTCCATGTATCCATGCCTCCGTTTCTATTTTGTTTGTCAGTTCATTTTGTTCATTACATTCCACATACAAGTGAGATCATGTGGTATTTCTCTTCCTCTAACCGTTTTCTTTAACATAGTAAAAATAATCTCCATGTCCATCCATGGTGTCCCAAAAGGTAAGAATTCCTTGATTTTACAGCCTTGTCGTATTCCATTGTGGAAAATACCACAGCTTCTTTCTCCACATATCTACCGGTGGGCACTTGGGCTGTATCCAGATCCTGGAAACTGTAAATAAAGCTGCTATGAACACAGGGTTGCATATGTTCCTTAGAATTGGTGTTTCCAGATTCCTAGGATATATTCCCAGAACTTGGATCACTGGGTCAAAGGCAGTTCCATTTTTACTTTTTTGAGGAAACTCAATACTGTTTTCTACAGTGGCTGCAGCGGTCTATATTCCCACTAACAGTTCACTGGGATTCTGTTTTCTCCATATCCTCACCAGCACTGGTGGTTTGTCGATTTATTGATGATAGCCATTCTAACAGGTGTGAGGTGACATCTCATTGTGATTTTAACTTGCCTCTCTTTGATATTTAGTGATGTTGAGGATTTTTTCATATGTCTATTGGCCACCTGTATGTCCTCTTTGGAGAAGTGTCTATTCAGGTCCTTTACCCATTGGTTAATTGGATTGTTTGTCTCCCTGGTGTTGAGTTGTGCAAGTACTTTATATATTTTGGAAATTTACCCCTTATCAGATGCATCTTTGGCAAATATGTTCTCCTACACAGTGAGTTTCCTTTTCACTTTCTCGATGGTTTCCTTTGCTTTGCAAAAGCTTTCCAACTGTATGATATAGTCCCATTTATTTAATTGCCCTAGGTATATTGTTTCTTTTGCCCTAGATATATTGGCAAAAATATTGCTATGAGAGATATCTGAGACTATACGGCCTACAGTTTCTTCTAGGAATTTTATTGTTTCACGACCTATATTGAAGTTGTTGTTTTTTTGTTATCCATTTTGACCTCTTTTTCCTGTGTGTGGTATGAGTTGGTGGTCTAGTTTCTTTTTGTATGTACCTGTAAAGTTGTACCTACATCATTTATTTAAGAGACTGTATTTAATATATTCTATGCTCTGGCCTTCTTTGTCAAATGTTAAATGACAATAAAGGCATGGGTTCATTTCCGGGCTCTCTATTCTGTCCCACTGATCTACACAACTGGTTTTATGTCAGGACCAGGCTGTTTTGATTACCCAGGTCTTGAAGTATGATTTGATATCAAGTGTTCTGATACCTCCAACTATGTTCTGCTTACCCAATAGTGGTGAAGCTATTAGCAGTTTTTTTGGCTCCATATATTTAAATTTTTGGAATATCTTTCTGGATCTGTGAAATATGTCATTGTTATCTTAATAACCATGGCATTGAATCTATAGATTACTTTGTGTAGTATGGACAGTTTAATGATGTTATTCGTCCAATCCACGAACACAGTGTATGCTTCCACTTGTTTGTATCTTCCTCCATTTCTTTATTTACTGTTCTATACTTTCCTTTGTAGAGGTCTTTTACCTCCTTCGTTAAGTATATTTCTAGGTACCTTATATGTTACAAAAGTAAATGGGATTGTTTTCCTAGTTTTTCTTACTGATAGTTTATTACTGATGGTACATAAAATGTCAATTTCTGAATATTAATTTTGTATCGTGTTAATTTGCCAAATTCATATCTTTGATTTAGTAGTTTTTTGGTGGAGTAGTTAGAGTTTTCTACGTACAATATAATGTCACCTGTGAATAATGACAGTTTTCCTCCCTCCTTTCCAACGTGGATGATTTTTATTTCTTCTTTTTGTCTGATCACTCTGGTGAATAAGAATGGTGAAGGTGGACATCCCTGTCTTGTACCTGTTCTAAAGGGATACAGTATTTGCTTTTGCCCATTTAGGATGGTGCTGGCTGTAGGTCTTTCATACATGGCCTTATTATGTTGAGGTGTGGGCCCTCTATTACCATCTTGTTGAGGGTTATTATCCTAAACGGGTTTGGGATTTTAACAAAGAATGTTCTGCATCTATTGATCTGATCATGTGATTTTTATCATTCGTTTTGTTTATGTGATGTTTCAGATTTTTTGATTTATGAATTTCATACCAACCTTACATTCCCTGGGTAAATCTGCTTGATCTTGGTGCACGACCAATTTAACGTATTGCCGGATCCGGTTTGCTACTGTCTTGTTAAAGATCTTGGCATCTTTGTTCATCAGAGACACTGGATTATAATTTTCTTTCCTTATCTGCTTTTGGAATTAGGATACTGCTGGCCTCATATTAGGCATTTGGAAGTCTTCCCTCTAATTGAATATTTTTGAATAGCTTGAGGAGGATAGGTGTTACATCTTCCTTGAATTTAGGTTAAATTCACCTGTGAAGCCATCCAATCCAGGACTTTTGTTTTCTGGGAGTTTTTTTTTTTCATTAGTTGTAATCAGTCTATTCAGGTTTTTTTTTTTAATTATTATTCTTTCTGATTTAGTACTGCAAGATTGTATGTTTCTAGGAATTTACCTATTTCACCCAGATTGTCTAATTTATTGGCATAGAGTTGGGAAGGGCCAATTTGTATGAAATGTTGGCCTTTCCAGGTTAGAGCTGGGGGAGGATCTGTGAAAGGACCCAGGAGGCTCCCTGAGGTCAGCGTCCACTTGTCAGCTACTCTGCCTCCTGCTCAATTTGCCTGGTCTTCCCATAGCCTTCGGAAGAGAAACTGTAGAATGAGCCCAGCCTAGCCAAGGTACACAGCCCCTTCCATAGGTTTTCAGCTCTGCATGATAAGTCAACTGGGGTCATGAGGTTAGGGCAACTGGGGTCCCCTACCTAGGGATCACCCAGTCAGGCACTCAATGAGGGGAAAGTGGTCCCCGGTCAAAGTCAGAGTAACCAACTCCAGTGGCTCCACCTGGAGTGGCTCACTGCAGGTTCAGTTTGAGAGCAGCCAGCCAGTCCCCTCTTGAGGAGAAAGCTCAGCCACCCCAGGCTCAGGAATATAGATCCAAAGAGTCTGTCACCAGGGATGATGCTGGCCCAGCCCTCAAGAGAGGACTAAGCACTTTGTCCCAGCCCTACACAATAGTTTCTGAGCATCTCCTACTTTAAATGTCTCTGCTAAGCCGCTCTCCTTTTTCTTCATGGACCTGCATCCAGTGGGGATATCTAGTACTTGGCAAGGACCATCCAAACAGTCACCCATGCGGGGTGCTGCCCACAAGCCTTTAGGGGGGGTGCAGGCTCTTCTTCCCCATCCTGGAGTAGCACAGCTGAATGCACAGGGGTGATTGGATTTACTTCCCCACAATACAGCCACACACATCAGCATGCACCCATCAGATCCCAGACTTGAGCCTCCCAGGGAGAGCCTGTGAAAAATCCCAGCTTTCTGTGCCTCCACGGTCACTCCATACCGCCAAACCAAGCAGGATGGGGTAGAAGTTTCCAGTCCCGTGCCATAAATCAGTTCTATTTTCTTACACCAATTATGAACTACCACAAGGAGAAACTGAGAGCACAACCCCATTTACAACTGCATCAGAATGAAGAAATAAAATACCTAGGAATAAACATCACCGAGGAGGTAAGACACTTGGAGTTGAAAAATTATAAGAAACCGAAGAAGATACCAAAAAATGGAAGCATATACCATGCTTATGGAGAGGAAGAATTAACAGCCTTAAAAAACCAATAGTACCCAAAGCAATCTGTAGATTCAACCGAAAGCTGTCAAAATACAAATGGCCTTTTTCAGAGAACTAGATCAAATAATCAAAAGATGTATATGGAACCACAAAACTCCCTGAATAGCCCCAGCAATCTTGAGAAATAAAAACAAAGTTCAAGGTATCATGCTACCTGATATCAAACTATACTTCAAGGCTATATAGTAAACAAATCAGGAAGGTACTGACATAAGAACAGCTATCTAGATCAATTGAACAGTAGA